ACAATTATGATTGGGACGTGACAATCTGCGTGTTTCTCTAAATCGTTGGAATTTCCAGACATTTTAATGATAACTGAAACATAATATTTGCGTTCTCAATTGTCGATAATTATTATTCACTCATGGATTAAATAGAATACTTAGTTACTACCCGAACCCGTGCACGATCGGAATCAAAGTTTATTTTTCTAAATTTAAATTACAAATAATAATTTCCTAGCATAGTAATTAAAAATTTATAGGATTTCGTTTATTAGAATTACAAAATTTTATTTTGTAATTCTATGTTAATGTATGTTAAAATAAAATTTTATTATATGTTAATAAATTTAAACATTTTCAGTTTCAGTTGTATTCTGTACCTGTCGTCTGTATGATTGAAATTACATTTGAATGCGTGAATGGTAATAAGGTATGTTGTAAGTACACTATTTACCAATCTAAATAAGACCTAATACATTCAAAAATAAATTTAAAATAAGTAGTTTTATTATTTGTATCTCAAAACATTTAAATGCGATCGCCATCAGTGAATTATGTAAGAACAAACATTTTTATAAATTGCGGCTCGACCTCACGAAGAATAGACTATGCTATTACGTTGGTAAGACTTATTATCACTATACTTGTAAGTATAAAAGATTTTGAATGTCAATGCCAACAACCTCTGTATCAGCGATTCGGATATATGACCTTACAGGAAGGTATTTCCAGTGTACGAAAACCACGAAATCGACATTGAATTTAATCTTTCGTGAATGTTTGCCGATTGATTCAAACCAAACCAAACTTGTCCAACTAGACTTGGTTGGGTAACATACTTATTAGGATTAGCTAATTCATTTAATGACGCATGTAGCACACTACTGATTTAAACATAAAAAATATCATCGAAAATTATCACCTTCCAATATTTTTTTATGTTTAATTTGGAAAAATATTTTCGAGAAATATTCCGATATTTTTACACGCTCTATGAAATGAAAAAAAAATCTGTGGGTGCTTGAAAATTGTGTTCTTTTCTTCATTATTTAATTGATGCAAAATGGTTGTTGAAAATATAATGGTGTTTTTATGTCTTCATAACTGGCTAGTTTTAGAATTATCTAAAATGCGTTGAAAGCTGATAGCCTAATTTAAACAGTTCTGATTTCATTTTACTATATTGGAATATAAAAATCTGGGGCATTCATTAACACACAAGGACTCAAGATCATAGACATATTTAATTGAATTTCATATTGTCACATCTGTACTTTATACGTCAATAAAGAAAAAAAAAATATCATGCTCTCTCCGGAGCTGCGTAGATCGAACTAGATGTGAGAAATGTGTGTAAGAACTAAATACATTGCAAACGTATATTTGATAGGTAAGTACGACTTTCCTAGATACTAAACGCGTTACCCGATTTTGATGTCGTTTTGTACAGATATAGGCTAAGTTTGAGAAGCCAGAGAAACAACAATTAATGTAGATAAGTAGTCATGTAATTATGAAAACTAAACGTAGATATTTAATGATATCGAAAAAATTCGCTTTGCCCTGTACATCACTGTTATGTATTCCAGACGATATCGTGTTCAAACATAGCAAGAATCGTACAAATCAAACAGGATCTGTCTCATCATGGTACTCATTACCAGGTTATTTTCACATTACCGGCTGCAGGTACATCATTGCTACTCTATGTAGGTGCAAACAATGAAGGTTAGTGTAGGTCAGCGGTCATTTTCTTACACATTACTCACTGATTTAATAATAATTATTGTAGTTTTAATTTAAATATAACCACGCGTGTTAGGTTACCTACTTCATCTAGATATGGGCAGGTGTTATATTATTAAATGTAATAAGCGTAATTTGTGAATTCTATGTAGGAAATAAGAAGTGAATACCTGGTATTGTCATATTCTATGTAATATTGTCACATACATAGTTTCAGGCTCGATTCTATTTATTATTAAGAAATTTAGTTAACCGATTTCGCTATGTCATTGAAACAAGCACGTTATAACTCTGGATCAAAATCCCTATAGTATTTTGATATAACAGAATAAAATCATTTCTTACTTACCAAATGAAGGTAAAAAAACACGACGTCTGGTATCATGCAACTATGTAGTTACACTAACAAGTCTAATACTTATTAAGTTTTTCTTTGTTTTATTGAAACCATTGTATACAAGTGGGAATTTTTAAAAGAAACTCCGTCGATTAATTACATATATTCAATATCTACAGCTTCTAAAAGAGACGACTATGAATGTTTTGTTGTCGTTTCATAGTTATTATTGTTGACAAATTAGAATAATCTATTTTGATATTCCGAGAATGTTATAAGAAGTATTTAGATGAAGTTTAATAACGAGTATTTATTAAATATTTTTATTACTGTTTACTATCCATAAAAATAATAACAAATCTTTGATAGTTATTATAAATAAAATGTACATGATTATGAACATTTCACATTCTAAAAGTGAAATAAATATTCTCTTGCGTGTTCACATTTTTTTTCTTTAAAGAAAACGTTGCCCCACATTAGGATTTTCTCCTGTGTAGTGGGTGCGTTAACAAACATACAAGTTTACATACACATGACTCCTAGACCCGGAACAACGATCTGTGGATTAAACAAAGAGTTGTTCCGTGCGGGAATCGAACCCGCGACACGTTGCGCGGCAGTCAGTAGCCCAACCACCGCGCCAACCGTGCAGTCAACTTGTGTTTATCACTACGCAACACAACAAACTCGAAAACTGCTAAACCAATTTGAGAACTTTGGCATTTAGGAATACCTACTCATTAAGAAGATGTAAATACAAATTACTAGATAGACGTAACAAGATTTTTATTCATATTGAAAAAAAAACGCAAAAAAAATGATAATTAACATAAGTTAATTATTTATTTTTTTGCGTCTACTTTATTTAAACTTGCTTAACGTGTTTCTTAGAAAAAAAATGTAGGCAAGCATTAAAAATCTAAAAAAATTAACTTAATTTGTGAGTTAAATGAAGTTAAGTCTAGGTCTACCGAGTCGGTACGTACTTCCGAAATATTATCGGCAATAAATTCAGATAAGAACTACATACAGGTTGATAATGATATCGACAACGTTGGAGGAAAAATTGAGCGTCGAACAAATGGAATAAACAAGTAAGTATTATAAAAATATATGTAAAATAATATTGAAAAATATTATTAAATTATTTATTCTATCTTAAGCAAATTGTATAAACTACAATGCAGACCGTTTTTATTTTAATAGGCAAATTGAAATACTAACAGTGAATCTAAACGGTTGATGGAAAGCCATTATCTCGTCCTCTGTAAAGAAACTACACATTTCAGAACAGATTCATTCTCAACGTGTCAAATGCATCTACACTACAGTTATTGACATAGTTATCTCTATATTTGGATAACTATTAAATTTCCAAACATTCCGAAGTGAGATAAGAAAGTGATTTATTAAATCAAAACAAGTGTATCGGGCACAGGCCAGGGTCCCTGACGTCAATGGCAAAGCCAATAATGAACAAGTTTTATTCGCAGTTCTTTATTTGTGCTTAGTTGGTTTATTGACCTTCAGACATTTCCGATGTTAGCTTTCCTTGTAGCCTTGTAACCTACCATAAATAATTATGTCTCGATCTCAATGATCCTTTTATTCAATTAAGAAATTGAATCTCATTAAACTACAATTTTTCATATCCTTTTAACCTCCGACATAGTCTTGGTTCTTATCACAAACGAAATATACTTATTTACAATACGATTTACAATCATTCATTCATAATATCGATGATGTTGCTGTTTATTATAGTATTATTTGATAAGTTTATGTTGCGATTGCATTTAATTAACTCATTTCTATTAATGCACATTTTGACACGTATCTACCGTCATTCGGACATGATCTTCCTATTTTTATTTTAGTCACGTGAAGACCAATATGGGAAGGTCGTGGTATAGGCAACAATTACTAGTCTTGTTATCTTTCAAAAATGTTTAAAACGTGATTAATGTGTTAGTTTCTTATCAAGATCCGTAGATGTCGATATGATTACGGTGTCTTGGTATGTAGGTGAATTATTGGACGACGTATAGACGGCGCTGCTTTAGAGATTATTGAGCATGTGGATATGGTGGTCCTCGATGACACCGTGGTTAGGTTACGTAGCCGCGCGAAGTGAGCCCGCAGGGAGGCATGTTAATCTCGTGTCATGTCAGTGGCCAGGCGCGGTGACCTTACGTCACGCGCCTACCGCTTTGCGCTGTCACACGCGTTGGGAATACTAACACCAACAGATCGCCTTGGTGGATCCTTGGCTTCAAAACCGAGCTCCTTTGTGAGTAGTCTGTTGCATGTTTTCTACGATTCAATCCACGTTAATGTTTGTAGTACTATCCATACAATTGACATACCGACAAGTTGATAAACTTGCATCGTAAAAGCGGATGTCACTCACTGTAAACTTTTCTTCTGTAGTTATCATTCCTGTCTCCGACATTTGAATGTGAGCAATGGTAATTAAACTAGCAGTATCCTATTACTTTAAAAATGTACTTCATCTAAATTGACTTCGTTTGATCTCTACGATTTGACCTCCGATTGGGAACATGAGTCTCTGTGAGCCTAATTAGCGCCTGTCAGCTGTGGGTAATGGTAGGAGGTCGAAATCGCGGGAATCATAGTGGACTTGACATATTTAGTGCATTTAGTCATAAAATTAATTGCTTAAGAATTTCACAATTAATTTGATTAACTTACACGATTATTTTGATTAACATGAATCACTTACAGATTATTTAAAAGAGACACGTTCGTAAGTAGTTGCTTGTACGTGCGTAAATGAGTAAACGTTTCAAAAAGCACAGAGTGTTACATTTTCACAGGCTGTCGGTGTTTTAACGTATGATCAAACTCCTTTGAGCTCATCACATGATTCAGCCGACGACGCAACTCGTTTAGATAATATGATTAGCCTCACCTGAGTGATCGATCTGTCAGACCGGCGAGGTCCTATTTCGGCAGTAAGTCCTCCAGGCCGACTTGTACAAGTGCACATTCACTATATGTTAGAGTCGGACAGCTGATGTCCTGTTCAGATTAACTAGTGTATGGGTGGGGGCGCGGGGTTGCGTGTGAGCGTGAAGTATCGCGTTCGAATCGCGGCGCGCAAAACGGCGCCTGCGCACGGCGTACAGGTGAGCTCGGTACTGGCGGCGCGCGCTGCCCCCGCGCGCTTTTATCACATCGCACTTCACACGCCTTCAACTTGACTCCTCATGTCATCGATTTGATGAATTACTAATATCGCACTAATATCGCGTATTGATAATGAAGCCGGTAACTTGTCTTTAGTATTTTGGCTCCTATTTTAAATTGTAATAATGGCTGTTACTACTCAATTCTTATATTAGCCCGATATGTTCTCGTTGAGTAACCATTCCAGAGTGAGCAGTGCCTTTAGAGTTCGTGGATGGCTGTGTGTTAGTGTCAAACAGTGGAGGTGTGAACTAAATAAGGTTTAATGTGTGTGCTCTCTGTTTACTCGATAAGTAATCTGGTAAACAAGATCGTAAAGTTGAATAAATTAATCAAAAGAGATCGTATTAATTTTAACCACACATTCAATAGTAAAAATAATAAGGTAGAGCTTGTAAAATATAATATTATTTTCTACATCACTGCATAGTAAAATACTAATACTTATATGCATTGGTTGTTCTCTATTAAGCGTTAAGTTTGTTGAACTTAGTATTTTGAGATGACCTGAAAGTACAATAATACTATTTAAAGTATTTAGCTAGAAATGTGTAGGTATTTCTTCAATATTTTCTTACTATTCCAAAAGTGCAAGACCACTTTTATATTTGGGTCGATGTTTCAAATATTGATTTAACTGTTGAAAAACATTTAATCAGTTAATTCAGGATATTGTAATGTCAATGGCATGAAGAGTGGGTGCAATCTGTTGTCATTGTCATAATATAAACATTGTTCCATTTTATGCATAAAAAGTGTTGTAAAATTGAGTTTATTACAATTTAACCATTTACGACTATTTACGTTTTTATTACTGGCTGCTTGGGTTTGACCGTTAAATTCTATCTATTGATTCAGTATAGCCAGTTCTAGAAGTTTGGCGAAGTTTTTTTTACCATTAATACTTACTGTGTAGTTACCATATACTTATGAAAAGGTGGTAACATTGGCAACTAAATTCATATGATCAATTAGGACTTTGACCTTTAAGTTTTTGTTGATTCACAAGTCCGGTTCCTCGAGATCATCACAAATATTGGCTTATTTAAAACTAGCTTTTACCCGCGGCGTCGCTCGCGTCACAAAAGGATAAAAAGTAGCCTATGTGACATATACCAATACACACAGCGCCATCTATACCAATCATTTCGTTTTCCCTCGAGAATATCAAATTCCGGCATATAAAGTACCTACTCTATTATTTAATCCGGACTTCTAACTTTACGTCTGCAAAAATTCAAAGCAATCGGTTTAGTAGTTACGGCGTGAAAGCGGAACAAACAAACAAACAAACAAATTCACTTTCTGATTTATAATATTAGTAAGGATAGTAAGGATAGTTCCTATTAATTTGACCGTTTCGTGTTTAGGATTTTTACATGCAGTGAAGCTTCAAATGTAACTGTTCTGTATCTGTAAGTATATATGATTTTATCAATTAAAATTTAATTCAATATGAATTAATTTAATCGGAGAATCCATTACACATATGGACTATCTATATCTATACCTACATATAATAAAATCGAAGGAAAGTCAAAACTGTACATTGAATATTTTTGTAAAACTATAAGTAAAGTATATCTACCTACTTTGGGCGTGACCTACAATCTTTATAGAAAACAAATGTACTATTTCCGGGCTAATCTCAAAAAGTACTGCATGGATTTACTTCAAATTTTGCATTGATAGTACTGTGTAATACCTAAGCCTATGTAATACCTATGTATCATCACGCTATCACCTACGAGGGAAGAACTATCCAAAGTCACTGTTATGTTCTCATTCTTCATTCTAATTTACCGTCCACAATTAAAAAAAATATTTGTGTAAATAATGTGCAGACTACTGAGTGCTACTTCCTCCGTCTTATTTTCGGGTTTGTACAAATTGTTAATAATTTAGATATTTTACATGTGAGATGAATAGAAGATTACGATGTGTGTATTCTAGGAATGTACCTATGTATTACGTAAAGGGAAAATTTCTATACCGACTACTTCAACCTCTGAGCATTGAGGCTAAACATTTTCTTAACACATAACACAACGGTTTCACTCTATTTCGATTAATTAAAAAATGTTGAACATGTATTTCGTATATGTAAGGTAAATTCCCCATGTGTTAATACCTGATATAATACATGTTTGGCAAAGTACAACAATAATTATAATTGGCGACCTTGTACTAAGGTAAACTTTCTCGTAAATTATGCGACTGAATTACAAGCTTGGTATTAATAGTAATATAATACAAATTATTTATTTATTTTAACACTTTATGTACAAATGTGTATACAGTGGCGGGCTTAATGCCGGATGGCATTCTCTACCAGCCGACCATAGGGTGATGCAGAGAAGTGTTACAGTAGGTTATAAATGAAGTTGCATCTATTGAAATTAATAGTTCAATCAAACGGTTAGTTTAGCCAGACTCATCATCATTATCAACAGTCTATAAATGCCCACTGCTGACCAAAGCCTTCTAACACGGAGAAGGTTTGAGCATTAATCACCACGCTTGCTCATTGCTGGTTGGCGATTTCATAATTATAATTGAAAAATTATAAGCCCAGGTTTCCTGACGATGTTTTCCTTCACCGTTTGTCAGTATTGTCTAAATGATCTTCGAAAGTAAAAAGTCACATTGGTACTTGCTATCGGTAGGTTTGGAACCCGCACCCTCATGCATGAGAAGCGGGTGTGTACCTTCGGGCCACTACGACCTATGCTATATTAGCTACACTACATGTAGAATATAATTAATATTTATTATAAAGTGGGATGACGATGCAATGACCTGTGTGCGGTGATGAGGAAAGCGTAGACATCAGGTAACTTGGAAAAACTTTATAACAGCATTATCTACTCCCGCGCAGTTTCACTCGCTCTGCTCGGCTCCTATTTGTAGTAGCGTGATATTTTATAGCCTACAGCCTTCTTTGATAAATGGACTATCCAACACAAAAAGAATTATTCAATTCAGCCCAGTAGTTCAGGAGATTTGCGTGTTCAAACAAACTCTTCCTTTGTACAATGTGTAAGTACTTATAAGATTTTTTCACTTTATTCTTAGAAGGTCAATTCATTTTTATGTTTTATTTAAGCCATTTTAATATTCGGATATAATTTATTACATTTTTTATTAGTGGGTGACTTCAACTTAGTCATCTTAAGCCCCAATGAATTAAATAAATATGGTAAAACACATTTTTGTCAATTTTCAGTCTGATTAGTACCATTGTGTCAGTTTTCTCACTGGGTTTAGGCACATTATCCATATTTCGCAGGTAATGTGTGGAAAAGGTGGTGTTGACAACTTAATCTTTCTATTGTTTGAAATAATACAGAATGCCTTATGCCTTTCTCAGGATTCCCAGATTTATGGAGGTAATAGTGTGTACACAAATCGTAAAACTTAGTTAGGTCAGACAGATAAAAAAAGAAAAAAAAAAACCGTTTAAAAAAAAACAAAAATGTCAGGCAGATAGATGTAGTGTAAAAACGATTTTTAAAATTTGCTTTAGCATTCCGGTTTTTCAAAAAATCTGTACATTTTGATTGACCTTGACAAAAGTCAAACAACTTTACATAATAACGAGTGGAGAGCGACTTTAGGAATAGCAAGACATTAATTAATGAAAATAAAAACATTTTATTTGTTCACATTTATTTTTTGGTGCGTTAGGTGTCGTCGGATGCTAAATCTAAAATTGCAAAGATTCAAACTTGTGGTCGTTTACATTTTCGAAGGGTTTTATTGCTTCACGGAATCGCGCTAAACATATTTTAACACATACGTACGCGGACGTCGCGTCGGCTAGAGACTATCAAAGAGGTTGGTCGATGTTGTCGCGGTCAATTTCGAGAAGGTGATCAGTGTTTGCACATCGAGGCCCCCGTGCCTCTACAGCACTTAATCTGTTGTTCGCCGCGTAACGTAAACAATCACAGTAACGTAGATTATTATCTTTAACGATTACATAACAAAACAATGATTGCAGATCATGAATATCAATATGTTTTCTTCGTTACTTTTCAATAAGGTTCCCCTTATTGTATTTAATATTTCTTTAAATCGCACGCAACTCCAGTCTCTCGCCTTTACAATTTCAAACAACTCGTGAACCAGTGGCACATTTTTCATTAGGTGGGCTTGAGATCAATTTGTTATCGCGGTAGTCTTAGTGTCGTCTTTAATTTGCGTTAAATACATATTATAAAATGTTGGTATATGACTACTCCTTTCACTATTTAATAAACAATTGATTAGTATGATCTAGAATGCGTGTAACTATCTAAAATGTTTCCTCCATAAATGAAAATGTCAAATCACAATCATAGGCATATAAATTAAGTTAAACAAATCATTCAATCGTTTGTTTTGTAAATTAACCTTTTGCCGGGTTAATTGTTTTTTAATTATTTTAATGTAAACATGTCTCAATGAATGTAATTAGATAGAAAATACAAAGTATAGGCCAGCAACTAGGGCAAGGGTAGAAATTATTAAGAAGTTCTACCTACTCGTAGAACAATGTACCTATGTTTTTTTTAATATTTCAGAACGTATAGATTTTTAAACGTTAAAGACCAAAAGTCCGGCGACCCATCTATTGACGAAAGCGACACATAAGAAACTCTTAACCGATACTTAACTATCTACATTCGTCATACAAAACGCGAAAACGTATGGGGACGATAGCATTTCTATAACATTAACTGTTGTCGCTGGCCAACTTGACTTTTTTTTTAAAAGAGTACTGAATGGAGTTTCGTCCTCGTTTTTCTTCACTCGAATCTACATTTTGGGACGAGCGCCTAGCTTCACTGACGGACAGACTATTATTTATTTTATATTTATTGACGTTTAAAAAGTACCAAATTATAGTTTAATTGAAATAAATGCTTTTGATCGATGTTAAAAAGCAGGATATTTATATTTCTATTTCCTTCTGTAGCGCATTAACAAATACGTCGTTTAGCCACGACGTCAATAGTCAAAATATTTCATTGTCAATTCCTGTACAAGTCTATTAACGTCTGAAAAATAATTTTATTAAGTAAGTTAATAATAATGTATATTTTCAGAAGTACAAACTTCACTTTAAATTGTGGTTGTTGTTAACGTGCACGAGTTATTTAACATATCTTTTATATTCATTAGTAGATTTGGAGGAGTGTACCTATACCTAACTAGACGGAAATCTTTAAC